ATAGAAGAAGATTAGTTAAATATTGGCCTTAAAACTTGTTCTCCTGCTGTCGTCTTAAACCTTTTGAATTATTCTGATTTTGAAGTTGGTGTATAAACAGAACAAAATACATTTTTGACTCGACCGATTACAGTAGATTATTTCCCTCAATCTCAAGTTGCATTTGCTCTTAATATAGTCATTTTCAAGGGGGGAAAGTCGACATTTTCAGAAGTTGTCCCAGTTTCAAAAATTTTCGTTATATTTCCGTGTTATAGGGAAAATACAGCCACTTGAGAGGCACCCACCTGAAGACATCTACATCATTGTTTTACGTGAATTCGGTTATCTTACCAGTGCTGACCTCAATGTTTGATCATTTGGCCAATTGTGAATACGGCAGCGATTTACTCCGTACGTCCAGTAGTTGGTCTTTGACATCCAAATGCTTACCATCACTTGTTTTAGTGGACGAGATTCAGGTGGCATCGTATAAGATTCTGCAAGGTCTGTATCATTTGGGAACCGACCTAACGTTGCACCATGAGAGGAAATATCTGAAGAATGAAATGGAGAAGTACAAGCCAGCGTTGGGCTCCTGTTTGGGAGCATTCAGTTCCACTTTTCCCGTGGCTTTTCTCGAGCCTCATATGAACAAGAACAATCAGTACTCGTTGCTGAATCGAATAGGTAACATTTTTTAAATTTTTGTGTTTTATAATAATAATTTTCATTGGAATTTGGTAGCCGATCATTCGCTGGAAGCCCAGGATATAATTTCCAAAATGGAACAGTTTATGCCCACTTTGGAAACAATATTATCAGAAGTTGATCAATTTGTTGAAAGCAACAAGACTTACTTTGATGATCCGCATATAATAGATGTCATAATGCCTATGCTGTGCTCCTACCTACCATTCTGGTGGGGCCAAGGGCCAGATAATGTCAGYCCTACAGGAGGGTAAGCAAATTTATWTTTTGGYTTCCATTAGWTTGATACCAAGAAACTTAGATTTAAARTGGCAGGCCGACAAAAAATATTCAAGTGGAAAAACCGATTTTTTCGTTAATTTAAACCATCTAACTCTTGCTGTATATTTCTGCAAAATCCTATATTGTTCCTGTTAGATCACACGTTTCAATGGTTACTTCGGATCATATGAACCAGTTGCTCAAGAACGTGCTGAAACTTATCAAGAAAAACATTGGCAATGAAAATGCGCCATGGATGACCCGAATAGCTACTTACACTCAACAAATCATCATCAACAGTAGCGAAGAGCTGTTGAAAGATCCATTTTTACCTTTAGCCGAGCGCGTTAAGAGGCGCACAGATGCAATGTTCCACAAGGAAGAGAGCTTGAGAGGATTTATCAAGAGTAGTACTGAGGATACATCTCAGGTAAGGCTCAAATTATGTTTGAAGCAAAAATGATGAATTTAAGGGCAGGTCAAGAAAATCTTAGGCAATAGAATTAAACTCCCCATTTAAAGCACCAATTAGTTACCAATTATATAATTAGAGTTACCAATTATATAATATATTGTAATTAAAGCAACACGATACCTTTTAGATTGAGACTCAAATTCAAGAAGACTGGCATCTTCTAGTGCGAGATATTTACTCGTTTTACCCACTTTTGATCAAATACGTGGACCTTCAAAGAAACTATTGGCTGCGACATAACGTTGAAGAGGCCGAGCATCTCTACAACCATGTGGCAGAGATATTTAATATCTGGTCCAACTCCCAGTACTTTCTTCGGGAAGAACAGAACTTTATTTCGGCCAACGAGATTGACAATATGGTGCTGATCATGCCCACAGCTACCAGAAGAACGGTGGTTACTGATGGCAGTCAACCGTCTGTTGGAAAAGTAAAGGTCAGTAGATTTACGTGTGACTCTTTATATTCAATAATTCACACTGGAAATATATTTGTTTGGACTCCGACTAAGAGAATCTTTGGCTTCAAATTGCCGATGGTTTTGCCATTTTTCATTAAGCAATTTTAGGGAGATTTAAATCATGTTATCGACGTTCAAACACGATATAACAAAC